TCCTTTGACGATGTTGGCTGCAACCGGATCCGGGATCGGTTTGACAAACAGGACGTGACACGGTGACAGATGCGAACCATTCCCTTGTTTAACATTACAATCGTTCCATCCATTCCGCCCCCATCTTTGCTTTTCCCAGCATCCGACCAATCCCCTCTTGCGTCTTTGCAAACTCTCCAACTCTGTATTCAAACGGTTATTCTTAACACGCTACTGCGTACTGTGAGGTCAGAGGAAGGAATTACTAACAATATAACACGGACATTCTTCAAGTCCATGCCCATCCCTTCTACTCATCCAATCGGCCACGTCGCGGGCCCTCCCCCCCTTTGACTAGCATCCCCCTGCCATTTGCCTGCCCTGCCGAGCCCCTGTCACCCAACTTCAGCCCCTCGCCCCATTGCAGAGGTCTTGTAAGAACGGATCAGGCGGAATATATGTGTGGTATGCATGTCTGTGGCCCTCGGGCGTTTCCCTTTAAACTCTCCTACGCCCTTCACGCCCCGCGCAGTTGAGATCGAGTCGCCCAAACCTTAGCCGAGCCTGTGGTTATCCAACAAATTTCAGCCACGATCGCGTTGACTCTCGATACTCGAACGTTAGAGATTCCCGGTTCAAAGACACACCAGCTACGGACTTAAGCGGCGACATACGCCTCGACGACGGAAGGACACGAAGTTGCGGATTGGAGAAAGGAATTGGGGAGTTATCGAGAGCTGCCCAGCACACGGATTAAGGCACTCCACAATGGCATCTGGGCGGACGACGGCGACATAGACCGGGCAACATTGCCATTGCGACGACTTTTCCATCAAACTCTTGCTTTCAACAACGCTACTTTCCCAAGATGGACGAAATGTTACCGCCGCCGATGACTCCGTCCACGGAACGGATTCATCGGCGGACGAATGGAGGCAACAAGGCCTTTCACAACTTTGCAAACGACTACTCTCACATTACAGACCCCTCGTTAAGGAGGCGATTAGCACTGAGCGAAATTGACAAGGTTCCTTTTGGCTTGTACCGTTAGTCTGCACCGAACCTTTTGCGCTTTGCGCTTCTCAACCAAGACTGACATTGGACCGCAGATGTAAGGGCTATTCTGGTTGCGGGTGTTGGTTTCTTCCTCGACTCGTACGACATCTTTGCCATCAACCTCATCACTACCCTCCTCGGCGTAGTGTTTTGGCAAGGGCCTCCTGAATCGAGTGCGCATGGTTATGGCGGTAACAACGGCGAACTGCCGGGGCCGGTAAACTCGGCTCTCAAGGCTTCAACCAGTGCTGGAATCATTGTTGGCCAAATTGTGTTCGGCTGGTTGGCCGACGTCTTTGGCAGAAGAAGGATGCATGGTGTGGAACTTGGAATCATCATCTTGGCGACGTTAAGCGCCGCGCTGGTCTCTCCGAGTCAATCGGTTAGCTTCACTGGACTGATGATTTTCTGGAGGGTTATCATGGTAAGTGCCTTGTATGTTGTTTTTGTTGTTCATATGCCATTGCTAACGACACCAAGGGCGTCGGCATTGGAGGTGATTATCCGCTCAGTTCAGTCATTACATCAGAGTAAGTCGGGTCTTAGGCCGTTAATTTCAAGAATTGGGATTGACGCGGTCCACAGGTTTGCGCCAACCCGATGGCGAGGAGCCATGATTGCGGCCGTATTCTCGATGCAAGGCATGGGTCAGCTCGGTGCAGCCGTCGTGGCTTTAGTCACTGCCGAAGCCTTCAAGGACTCCTACCTCGACGTCCACACTCTCGGCGACTGCCACGCACGATGCCAGCTTGCTGCCGACCGCTCATGGCGCATCATCGTCGGCATGGGCGCCGTGCCCGCCTGCATAGCATTGTACTACCGAATCACGATCCCAGAGACGCCCCGATACACCTTTGACGTGGAGCAAGACGTCGAGAAGGCCGATGCGGATATCCGAGCGTACATGGCGAGCAAGTCAAAAGGTGATTACGATACGGATTTACAGTTCAAGATGAAGAAGGAGACCGGTCCCGGTTACAACACTCCGGCGGCATCCTGGCCTGATGCCTGGGCATACTTCACGCAGTGGAAGCACTTTAAAATGCTTTTGGGCACTGCCTTTTCCTGGTTCTTCCTGGTGAGTCACACAACACTCGAAGAAATCACTCGGTCTAGGCATACTCATGTGCGGAACAGGATCTGGCTTTTTATGGTCTCGGGCTGAATAGCACCGTCGTGTTGCAAACCATTGGCTATGCCGACGGGGCCAACTTTTACAAGAGACTACACAACCAAGCCGTAGGGTTGATCATCTTGGCGTGCGCTGGTGCGATCCCTGGCTATTGGGTTTCTGTCTTCACCATCGACACCCTCGGCCGTAAACCCATCCAGATTATGGGCTTCTTTATGCTCACCGTCATTTTCTGCGTGCTCGGCTTCCTGCTCCATCAGTTGACCGATGCTGTCTTTCTCACTTTATACATCACTGGCCAGTTCTTCTTCAATTTTGGCCCCAACACTACCACATTTATCGTTCCTGGCGAATGTTTCCCGACCCGATACCGTTCTACTGGACACGGAATTTCTGCAGCGATGGGCAAAGTTGGTGCCATCTTGGCGCAGGTTATCAGCATCCCTTTGCTCGCAAAAGACGTCCCTGGCGACTGCCACGGCGACCACTGCGCGCCCTGGCTCGACCGTCTCCTGGAGCTGTTTGCACTATTCATGTTTCTAGGCATGCTGTCATCCTTACTCATCCCGGAGACCAAGGGCATGACCCTCGAAGAACTTGCCGGCGAGACACCAACATCCTACAACCGCGGTCGCAACGGCAGTATATCGCACTACCCACGCCCGCAATCGAAGTGGAATCCCTTCGGCGGTGGTCATCCCGCAGGGTTCCACTACCCACGTACAAGCACCGTCAAAGCAGCACGTGTCGGTATCATGACGTCGCCCGACCTCCTAGCAGAGGAAGAGCGTAGAAGAAGGAGTCAGACCCGGTTCTGGCGCAAGAGGCGGAGAGAAAGGGGCGGCGGCGGCAGTGGCAGCAGCATTGGTGGTGGAACAGACGAGTACGCGATGAGCATACGAAACAGCGGTGTATCTTCCGCATACACTGGGAGAAACATGGGCGCCGCTGACGAGCAGATGCCTGCCGATCCCGCGGCTCCCGGCGTTTTTCCGACTTGGGGCGCCGGGTGGGGCCGGGTGGATCGCGGGGCGCAGCCGATGGAGAACGTCAAGTTACACGACGTGGGAAGCCTTCTGAGGCGGGATTCCCGCGCGTGATGGGAATATAAAAGGCAATTAGCGGGCGTACGGTTTTTTTTGGTTAACCCTCCTGGATGGAGAACGGGGGATTTTCATGATGACGACCTTTCGCTGGATATGGATCTGTCTGGCTACGGTGTATGATTATAGCATCAAGACCGCCCACGCGGTGATTCAAGATTCGCTCTACAAGCATTATGAGGTGACTTTTGATCTTTATATCCTTCAATCATGTTCAAATTCATGCCATGATACGCTAGGGATTGCTTGGATTAGCTCCCTCTAAGCGACGTAAAAGTCGACTGAAATACATAACGCGAAACAGTCCAGCTGTTCGCCATCGCAATGAGCAACTTCACATACTTCGTCAAAGATCAAACCGGCCATGTACGGAAACCGCTTCCCCCAATCTCCAAATCACTTACCCTGACTTAATGGCCATACTTGGTCCTATCCTACATAACCCCCCAAATAGCAGCCGTCATCTCCAAACTCGCCCTCGCACCAACAAAAAACCTCAAACTTCCGCTTCAGCCCTTTGTCATTCGCAGAAAGCGTCACAGCCGGTGTGCGAAGGGAATCCTCAGTCACCTAATGCTGCAGCCTCCGTCGGATGATAGGGTAGCGCTCGACGGCGGAGCCGAGGGCCTCCCAGATGTCTCTCTGTGATGAGGTTTGAAGGAAGATGTTTTATTACTTTATTCGAAGCCTCGGAGAATTGATATGCGATCAAGAATGGAGTCATGGACCGACCGTATCAGTGAATCGTGTCCTTATGTGGAATCGAATTTCATCTTATGTATTGTGGAATATGCAAACTCGCGAGACGTGGTCCGCTGATTTGAGCTCATTGATCACAACGGGTTGTAGTGATCATGTACTTTATTTTGAGATCAAGGTATCCCACTTCAGTGAATTCATATAAATTAATATGGCTTTTTACGGGGGGGTCACAGTCTAATAGTTAGTCCACGAGATAGACTTGGGTGACTTGCGATTTCGTTAAGGCATACTGAGCTATAAAAAAAAATGAAGAGCCGACGCCTAAGTCGGATAATTAATGGTAATCATGCTCAGATTCCTTGACGCTGTGTTGACCGCCTTGTTTCATGGAAGACAATCCAGCCGTTGGGAAATTGAAGACCGGTCTTCAGCATGAACTAGCCACTAGCTTCCCCCTTCTTGTCTAGAACATCCCTAAAGTTCTTTCAGATAGATCGAGGCTTTCAAAAGTGTTCAAGTCATCGTTGATACATCGCAACAATGAGCTTCTTCCAAGTTGTCTTGTGAGTGAACTTCCCCTTTTGTGCGGACTGAGTTGCCAGTGCATGGTCACCAGGACAATTGAATTGTTTTGTCAGTGTCTAAATTCTCCAGTGGGTCCATAAAGTAGGAGCGTTTTGCTGCGTTCGAAGTGAAGGTGTATTTCCAGAGCATCTCAGACGCGTCCGGCCTTGTCAACAGTCCCAGCAACCACACAACAACTTACCCTACTTTTTCCCAATTTTTCATCCCTCACTGCACAAGGACAAGCTTCCATCTGCAAATACTTTTCAGCTTTTTTTTCCTCCTATGCCTGAAGTCTTCCGCACACACACACTTTGCGGAATCTTTCACCCTCACGCTTCCACCACCACAACAAAGCATCTCGACAAACACACACTCACCAAATCACAGTCGTCTTTCCGGTACAACCCCTCCAACTAGCATCAAATCTGCATTAATGCATTCAGACTAATACAAAGCTAACCATGCAGTACTACAGTGAACTGGAATTGCAGGGCGCCATGATTGCCATCGCAGGCCTGGGCCAGCTCTCAGCCTCACAGCAGCGCATGTGCGACGACCTCCTGCAGGCCCTCATCCCGCGCAACTACCCCGTCGACCCCGAAACTCTCGACAACGTCCGCCGTGAATTCTGGAACCGCGTCTTCGCCAAGGGCTGGACGACGAACAAGGAAAACAAGGCCCCGGGCCAGCTCCCCAAGCGCACCAACGACGAGGCCTCCCTCACCATCGGCACCCTCAACCAAGATGTGCCCAAGAACGGCAGCGTCCCGGGATACCGCCGCGCCGGCCAATCCGTCCTGCTGAAGGTCAGCATGAAGGTCGGCGATCGCTGGGAGGACGTCGATGCCAGTTTCTTCTGGGTCGATCAGCAGGGTCACCGCGGCTCCGAGCTCTCCAACGCTTCGATCGATATCGAGGGCGACCTCACTCTCGAGGAGGCCTCGGTCGAGGTCGGAATGCACTACGACACCAACGAGAAGGAGCGCGTCGGCGGCTGGAACTGGGACAAGGTCGTCTACTGGGGCCGCCTGCGTCTCCTCAACTTGGCTCTGCAGCTTAGAGTCGCCAACACCGAGGATACGAGTGAACTGAAGCAGGTTCGGCTGGTCGAGGAGCATTGGTTGGAGAAGGAGGAGCTTCGAAAAAACTTCTTGGTCCACGAGCAGCTTTTGAGGGGTGATTAAAGGGAGATGAAAGGACTGATTGATACCCGGATTATGGATGGAGGCTGGCTTTGCTTTGTTTGGGCCACATGGAAAGGGATGATCGTAAAAGCATAGCATGAACTCTTGATTTCGCCAGAACGCCTCAATACACGTACCCGGAGGTGTTTTCATTCGTGTTTCTACTGCAAGTACTTATCTAATGATGTAGTTCGTAAGATGGCTCCATTTGACGGAGGTCTTTTTCGATATCGGCCTAACATGATGAATTCATATGGAAGATGCGTTCGACTTTTTGCTCCTGGACAAAATCCTAAATATTTCATCTTTTGTTCCATTGAGCCTGCTGTTCCTTCATTTCCATTTCAAACATCAGCAAACCTGCCTTCCTGACTTCCAACTTTGGATCACATCAAAGCAACACGCTTGTTAGGCGCTGGGACTGGTCGCGCAAGGGGCAAAGGCTTGATAAGGCGCTTTCACGACGTACCAAGTACTCTATATATAGTATGGACCACCTCTTCCCTTCTTCTTTGAGTTTTACTTCTTCAAGTGGAACTCCCTAAGATGGCGTATATCATGCGACCATGGTCTTTATCTGATAGATTGGATAATGGAACTCGTTGTTCACCCAGAGATTCTTTGATTCACCCAGGTTTTCACACCATAAAAGCTCTCATTTCATTCTTCTCTTCCCATGTCTGATCATACAAACTCAGGAAGAAGAATTCATTCAAATTTTCTGCCCTCCAACTTGAATAACTTTCAAACTTTTGCCAGTCAAACTCCATTGCTTTCTAACTCAACGTCAATATCACACGTCGGACGCAAGTAAGAATATTCTACCAACGGATCTGAAGTCTTGGACTTTGGCGCCCGATTTGTTTTTGCTGAGAGGAACATCACCTGCTACTTCTCATCACAACACCTCTTGATTTCATCATGGCTTCCCCGGAACCACCTCGGTTCGCTGTCTCTGGGGCCCGCCAACTCGACGATGTCGGAAAGAGGATTTTCGACAGCCTCATTGCTTGTGTGCTAATCTTTAACGACCCCCGACCACCGAATCTCGAGCTAACCATTGGAGGTTTCAAACCGATGCCAGAGATTGATGATAGTATCCGCGACAACTTCTGGAAGAGAGTCTTTGCTGGTGGCTGGGCCACCGACAAGCCCAATGTTTTGGAGCCTAGGTCGAATATGCAGGGAGAATTTCCTCGCCGCATGATCAAGCACGCTACCGTTGGCGAGTTATCAGATACCATAGAGTATGACGAAACAAAGTCCACGTATCAGAGCACTGCTATTCTCGTGGCAGCCAAACCGGATATCCAGAACGACTTGGTAGACTTTGCATACTCTTACCAAAGCGGCTCAGTCTTCTCGGACTGTGAGAAGAGGCCCATTTTCAAGGAAGACAGCATGAACCAGCCCTCCCGAGTTCTAAAAGATAAAGCCGAAGCCATACGCGCTTGGGACGAAGCTCAGATGGAATGGCTTGGTGAATGGAATTACGAGAGAGCAACATACGCGGCCCGACGCCATCTAGTTGATCTGGCTCGCTACTATGGTGGGGATGATGACGGTGTCCTCTGTTGTGGAGAGCGTCATCCGCTGGAGAGTCTAGTTGGGATGAAGGAAGAAGAAACGCGACTCTTGATAGCGATCCAATCGAGCCGCGAAATTCTGAAGAGGACGAGGCTCAGACTGCTCGACAAGATTGCTTCGTTTCGTGGCGAAAAGGGCGAGGATGAAGCGAAAGGCACCAGGAGGATAGCCTACGGTCTCTCACATGAGTCAAAAGAGTCTGACGAGAACTCAGAAGAGTTGACCAGTCAGCTTCAGTGTCTTAAAGAGTTGGCAGACACGACTGAACTCCTGGCCGAAGTCGTGAAATATCCTCCTCCGCCTAACATTTGGTAGCGCAACTTGCAAGTAGCTCACTGGAACAACTTTTCGGAAAAGGCTGGATTAGACTTACATTGAGTGGTTTTCACCCAAGTCGTTTTTTTTATTGGAAAGATCCTGATGGCCGGACTAGAGAGGGCAGGCTGTTACATCGTAAATATCCCATCAACTGCTAGAAGGCGTCAGTATTACATCCAACTCTAATCCTTATCTAAATTTCCTACTCCATCTCGAACCTATTCATGGCCGAATGTAAGTGAGTCAGGGCTATTTCAAGTCTTCTGTTCAAGATTAATCCGAAAACGTCATTCCATTTTGTTCACAAAGTCTCCAAAGTCTAAGCTTCTGTCATTCCAAACAGGAACTCATACAACGCCCAAGCGCCAGGGTCGGGCAGCTCTTGTCCCGGCGCGTCTCCCACATACGTCGCCCTGCCAAATCTTGCCTTCAAATACCGGGTGGCCTCTGCCTTCTCAGCAGCGACCTTGACAGCAGCACCAAAGTCTCCTGACTTGACAAAGGCATCCGAGAACGGAAGCAGCACATCCATAACGGTCCGGTCACCTTCCCGTGCCGGAGTATGAGACTTGAGAGACTCCACCGCTGAAGCTAGAGACGAGGCATACAACATCGGTGAGAATGATGTCGTGGATGCGGAGTTAGCTTGCGCTTCGGATCGAAGTGACGAAGAGAAGGCGGAAAGAAGGATTCCAAGAATGGCCCCGAGAGTTCCCCCCATATCGTCGACAGCTTCAATCGTCGATTCCAAAAAGGCGAAGACGGAACCGCTAGCCGCTGAACCGTTGTCAAGATTGCGCAGCAGTGACTCGCACAGGCCCTTGACCGCTTCACCACAATCGCCGTCGCCCATCACCATGTCCCATTTGGTCAAGCTCGGCTCGGCGGCGATCGCCCGTTGGCAAGCTGATCTGATGACTTTTTCCAACAGCTTTGGATCGACTTTGATGAGATCTGACTTCTGTTCGTGGCCGTTTGTAGTACTAGCTTTATCTGTCGTCAGACCATTCGTCTTCTCGTCGCCTGTTACTGGTCGAACCGTATTCGGCCAGTAAACTGCACTCGTGGGACGATCGAGAAGCTGGAGCAGCTCGGTAACTGCTGACTTGCACTGCCGTGCTGCAGCCGAAATGTTGCAGAGTGAAATGGAAAACCCCGGCGCGTTGAGAGACGTTTCAAAGGTGCCAACTTGTGTTCGTACGGGGGTAATTGACCAGGTCGACGCTAGCTGAGTCTGTACTTCATCCGTGAGTGCGCCCAGCTCCAAAATTGAGAGTCCGCCGTAGTTGTTGATGAGAAGAGTGACTTCATCTCCGTTCTCAAACGGCACGAAGGCTCTTTCCGTATCATTAGGGTCGCATAAGAGCTTCAGCATCCTGTCCACGAGATCGTTTACTGATGGAAAAGGGGTAATGAGCTGTTGGCCTGGCTCATTGTGGATGCCAGCACCAACAACGCAGACATCTTCTGCAACAGAGTGATATTGACGTCCTGGAACATGGCAGTGATCTAGAGCTGAGCCTATCGAGACAGTCTGGTCGTTGACGGCCGTGCCGATCTCTACACACTGTTCAAAAGAATAATTCTCAGCCGCTGCCGCACCGAGGATCTTCATAGCTGGTACCGGTTAACAACATTCCATATGGCAAGGTGATTGAACTCACTGAAAATATGACCTGGCATTCCTCTTCTTCCCACCCTGCTACTCTTGCTCCTGCCAATGGAAACATCGTCCGTAGCAGGGAGAACAACAACTTTGTCGGACAAACCAGAGGCTTTTGCCCTCTCCGCAGCGAGTCCAAAGTGAAGCCTATCACCAGTGTAGTTGGTGATGAGGAGGATAGTCCCCGCATCAGAAGGCGCCAGTCTCATCGCCTCAAGAACTTGTTTTGTACTCGGCGAGGCGAAGATGTCGCCGCATGCGACTGCTGAGAGGAGACCTTCGCCGACGAACCCACTCCATGCCGGCTCGTGACCTGAGCCGCCACCGCCGATGATGCTTACGGTCGACCGATCATTGTGAGAGTTTGCAACGACACGTTCCACCTCACTGAGAGTGAGATGAGGGTTTGCCGATACAAGAGCACGCAGAGCTCTTGGAACGAGCGTATTCGCAGCTGTGTCGGGGAAATAATGTTTTGTCGCCATATTGAATGTCTTTAAACCGAGAATATTCAGATGTCACCTAGAAGCCATTGCCATGGACAGGAATCCGGATATATGGCACGGGTAACGTCTTCCGTATTAACCATAGCTGCCAGTTCCCCTCCATTGTAACCTCTTCATCTTCAGGTGCAACCACACATAGATCCTCATCCTCGTACTCAGAACGCCAACTTGACGCGCCTCGAGCCATACGGGCATCTCGATGTCTGATTAATCTCTACAACACTAGCCTCACTCAGCTCTTCTCAGGTTCCGAAGCTTCGTAAACGAGAGGAGCTACAAGCGAGTCAGTCCGGGCCCCCGAGACGCGCACCCGTAGGCAAACAAGACTGGAACTATTACAGGGTACGCTATCTACCTAGCTCACTTATGCCTGCCCCCCCGGCGCTTTGTTGGGAAAATGGCAATGGTTCGTTTTCCCCCGCGAGTCCCCGCACAAAAATCCCGCTCAAGTTCCCAGCTCGGCAATGCAGCTCATCAAACTCCACGGACAAGTCCCGACATCCAACTTCTTTGCAACCGAGTGCGAAGGGTCGGCGACGCTCCGCTGCTCCTCTCAACTCGGAAATAGCTGTGACAGCTCGCACTCCGTACCTAGCTCTTTCCACTAGGTCACGTAGTGGTTCCAGTCCCATGGGTTGCTAGCCCCCGCATACCGTAAAGTCTTAACTCAACCCTGCTCGAACCGCGTCTCGCAGTCCTTTCATGCAAGGAACCGAGATTCGTACACAACCGCAAACACGACGATAGGCCTGCCATGACCTCATGGATGGAAGACGAGCTGCATCCGCGCCTCCCAAGAAGCGCGTCAGAAAGCCTCGGGGCCGTGGTCTACGCACCAAAACGGGCTGGTGAGTTCAAGCCTCCCCGAGCCGCACTACCCTCGACGCGCGGGTTGCTGACCTGTTGCACATAGCTTAACTTGTCGTGAGCGACACAAAAAATGCGACGAACAGCAACCGGTCTGTGGGCCGTGCAGCATCTCGTCTCGTCACTGCGTCTTCCCCCGTCTATCTCAGGACGCGGGCAGAAGAGCAAGCCCAGCTGCTTCACATAACGACCGCCCGACCGCGCGTCTCGGAGACGATGGAAGTCATTCCCGCGTCGATGAGCTCCCACAATCGATCGGCTCGACAGGGTCCATCAGCCTCGAGTCGCAGACGTCGATGCAGCACGTCTCCCAGCCTCCCGGGACGTATGACGCAGCCCATGCGCCCTACGTGAGCCAGCCACGCGTATCGGCGGGAGTGACGTTCGGCGACGTGTACAGCTACTCTCCCGAGACCGTCGCATCCGAGCTTTGGACCACCGATCTCGCCTCGACGCGATGGCTCGGCCTGCTCGCCACCGACGCGGCGCAGGCAGACAGCGGCTTCTCTCTCGCCCCGAGCCCCGCCCCGGAGGATGAGGAGGGGCGGCGGGCGGCGGACCTGCATGGCCCGCCCGATGCGACCAATCTCGAGTCCCGGCTTAACGAGGTATCAGATCCAGAGCGGAAGACTTGGCAGGCGGATCGGGATATCACGCTGTCCAGCCGGGAGGCTGTACTCTTTCGTCACTTTACGGAACGATCGGCTCGTTGGTTGGACTTCTTGGATCCGCAGAAGCTCTTCTCCACCTATGCAGTTCGGCTGGCTTTGAGAAATGCAGGTCTCATGAATGCAATCTTGGCATTGTCGGCCAAACACCTCTCAAAACTGGAAGGAGGAGGCCACCGGAACTCCAACGTGAGCAATGGAGACACGGAGGAGGATTCCGGCGGAGAATGGGTTCGATACTATTACGAAACCCTCCGCTATGTACAAGAGGCATTAACGTATACCAGCTATACTGCTTCAGAAGAGCTCAATGCCACGGCAATTGTGATCTCAGCGTACGAGATGCTGGACGAATCAGATGGCAGAGGCAACTGGCAACGGCACCTGAAGGGCGTCTTCTGGATTCAACGATCTCAAGACGTCAACGGGGCCTCCGGCGGACTGCGACAAGCAGTCTGGTGGGCTTGGCTCCGCCAGGATATATGGGCTGCTTTTCGGGAGAAGAGGCGTTGCCTGAGCTTCTGGGCTGCGGACAAAGACTTTTGTGAGCTTGATCCGCACGGTCTAGCCGACAGAGCCATTTACCTGCTCTCGCGAGCCGTCAACTACTGCGCCTACTCTCGACTGATGGAGTCATCGTCTTTGACCGAGGTTTCGGCTTCGGGGAACAGGGCGAGGGCTGGGAGCGAAATGCTAGCTGAGATGGAGCGATGGAAGTCGTTTCTGGGGACCGAGTTTAAGCCCCTCCCGACTCCAGGAAGTCCGTCCGATGTCTTCAAGCCGCTTTGGATTCACCCACCCGAATTCGGAGTTGCTCTCCAGGCTTACTCATTCGCAAAGATACTCGTTCTTCTTCATAAGCCAGTGTCGTCTGGGTTTGATGGGTACATGAAAATGCAACGATCTCTCTCGGAGGCCGTAGATACGATCTGCGGTATTGCAATGCAGTCGACAGATGAAGGCTGTCAACTACTCTCAGCACAGTGTCTGTACGGGGCGGGCTTGTGTGTACAAGACTCGCTAAAGAGAAACACCATTCTCTCTCTGATTGAGAGAAGCGAAGAAAGAGTCGGATGGACGCCGATGGCGACGTGGCGAGATGACTTGAGGGAGGCATGGGCAAATGCTGATAGTCAAAGTCCGGATGTGACGCGTTGAAGGTTCTATTATTGACTGCTATATACCCCTGAGGGCAGAGCAAATTGGACTACTTACACCTCATGCCTTGCCGGTAGACTTACACACGTCCATCTGCCACTCCGTTAACTTCTGGGCTTCCTTGACCCCTTCTTCCATCAACGTTGTCAGATTCCGACTCGGGGCGTTCTTTTTCAGATGAACCAAGTAGTCATCAAGCACAAGCTTGTTCACATTGACCTTGGAGACGCCACCAGCAATACAGCGCTGCATCAGGTCCTCGGGGAAGTCATTAGTTCCGTGAAGTACGACCCGAACTCTTCCAGCCACCTTTTCGCGAATCTTTTGCAGCCTGTGCGACACATTGGATAAGTAACGCCTCCAACTGAGTTTCCAAGGGGGCAGATCTTACCGGTCAAACTCCAACACGGGTCCCCTGGCGCCATACTCACCATGCACATTACCAAATGCCGGTGCCAAAAAGTCGATACCAGTAGCGATGAAGTCCTCCACCTGCTCTTCCGTCGTCAAAGCCCCCTCAAGGTCCGCCGTATCCGCTATACCATCCTCGCCGCCCTCGATACGTCCCGGCTCAGCCTCGGTCGCGATACCTCTCTCATGGCAATACGCCACCAGCTCCTTTGTCTTGGCCAAGTTCTCGTCCATCTCGTAGTGGCTCATATCCACCATGATACTGTCGAACGGCAATGTATCCGCCGCGTGTCTGATCATGGCTTCATCCTGTGCGTGGTCGAGGTGAATGGCAACAGGCACTGAGGCGGCGCGGGCCGCATGCGCTGCCGCATGGACGAGGAGCCCTGATGAGAAGGTGATGGCCCATGGGAATACTTGGATGATCAAGGGGCTCTTCTTTGCTTCGGCGGCGCGGATGAAGGCGAGGATGTTCTCGATGTTGTAGGCGATGGGCGCGACTACGCCATATTGGCCTACCTCGGCAGCTTTGAGAATTTGATATGTCTTGTTCTTTGAAGGATCCCACGATGCCATATTGATCTTGATGTGTATATTCACGTAAGTGTTGCGTGCTAAAGTTATGGAGGTTCAAGTAAATCCGTGAATAAGGCGGCACTGGGTAATTTTCCCGACAACGAAGTTTGAGTTGCTAGAAAGCCTCATGTACGTCGAAATAGCCTCCTGTCTATATGAAGCGATTTCACGCTTGATACTGCCTACCAGTAAGCGTCGTGATCCGGTGCCACTGCCTCGGTGCCCAGAGAATTACACTAAGCTAGGAGAAGTCTCGAGCCGGCGTATGCCCACGACTCGCGGTCGCCAGCCCCACTGGCCCCGAGGCGCGGACTGATGACCCATGCACAAGCTTATGTTAATGCCTTACAGACATCAATAACATCTGGTTGCTGTCTGATCAAGTGCTAGGAATGGTGAGACCTAGGATTCAGTCTGTTTCAATCTCGCGACATTAGAATCAGTCACCGAAACCCCATCGTTTGCTAGTCGCTTCATCCGTGAACGCGGCTTCATTCTTTCTAGGTACTCCTCTGCAAACCTCTTCATCTTACCGAGCTTTGTTTGACACCAAGCAAGCCAATAATACTTCTTCTTCAGCAGTACTCCTCCTCGAACTTTTAAAATGGCTGTAACCAACGGTCTCCGTATTGCCGTGGGCGGAGACGACGCCGGCTTCGACTACAAGGCCACAATCTCCAAGGACCTGGAAGCTGATCCGCGTGTGAGCACAGTCGTAGACTTTGGTCCCAACTCTGCAACAGACAAGACAGCATACGCGCACTTCGCTCTTGCCGCTGCCGAGGCCGTCGCCAGCGGCAAGGTCGACCGGGCCATCCTCATCTGCGGCACGGGGCTTGGGGTCGCCATTTCAGCGAACAAAGTGCCTGGCGTCCGGGCAGTGACGGCGCACGACAGCTTTTCAGTAGAAAGAGCAGTCAAGAGCAACAATGCGCAGGTGTTGTGTCTTGGTCAACGCGTTATTGGGATTGAGCTCGCGAGACGTTTGGTTGGTGAGTGGTTGGGATACGAGTTTGATCCCGTAAGTTGAGACTCCGGCTTCTTTTACACTTAAGGACCTTTATCAGCTGACATTATCCTCTAAAGGCGTCTGCATCAGCAGCAAAGGTGAAAGTCATTGATGACTATGATCTGAGGCAGTCGGGTGGGATCAAGGCATGAAGAAGGCGTTGGGAGTGACAGCCCGAACAGAAATATCTAGAGAAGGGGCTTGATACCTTGCGGCTGGTCACCTGATATAGGAATCAAAGGTCTTGAGAGAATCATCAAAAAGAGTTTGCCCCCCGGTGCTGAATTGGGGCTACATCTCTTGGTGCTCATGCTGGGATTCGAACTCGGGTGCTCGCTAAGCCTGTCGTCGAGTAGGCTGGTTGGCGTATAAATCAATTGTTGACCATAAACCACTCCACCACCCAGCCAGTTTGACCCGACCCGTCGACCTAGACGGGCGCCTGCTGGCTGGTGTGAGGATTGGACTTGGAGGGGTATATGAGGCACTTCACCTTCTCTGTGTATTCCGATTCTGGGAGTATTCGGCTCTAAGCTTACGTACAATTTACATCCCCCAATACCACAAAGTCACTCAACAAAACAAACTTCCTATAGCTCTGATGCAACATATTTACAAAGGAACTTCCACCTCTCGTCGCTTGCAAGTAACCTTGAGGTCTGGGTCAGCTTCCTCCGCAAACCCGTGCTTGCGCAACTTAATCTTGTACAAGTTGTCATACTTCCAATCGTACTTCAGGAGCAGATGAGCGATGATGATCTTTGCCTCACTGGCCGCGAAGAAGCGTCCCGGACAGCTGTGCTCCCCATGGCCGAAACCAAGATGGTTGACGCTCGTGGTCACCAGCTGAGCAGCAGCCTCCTGCCCTGGCTTACCGCTCTCCCGCATACGTAGGAAACGGTAGCCGTCAAACTCGTTGGGGTTCTCGTAGAATGCCGGGTCCCTCATTCGTTCCGTCGAGACTGCGACAGTGTGACCCTTTGGAATCCTGGTGCCGTCGGACAACGTAACGTTGGCGGTGGCTTGCCGGAACATTGAGGCTACCGAAATTGTTGGTCAGCCAAATACTATGTGCTGGTACCGAATCGAGTCTCGGGATATTTTGGATCACTTACAAATCTGGTTGGGCTTGAGGCGTTGGCTCTCATTGAGAACACTGTCGAGAAGCTTCATGTTGTAAAGCGCCGTTTTCTTCCACCCCTCTTTCTCGAGACATCCGGTAATCTCCTCTCTCAAAGGCTCAATTAGCTCGGGGTGCTGAAATATATCGACCAAGGCCTGCGTGATGAGATCAGACGTCGTGCCGATGGATACGACCGCCAGCATCAGCTGCGACGCCCCAAAGTTGTACGGCTTCCCAGCAGCAAGCTCCTCGAACCAGTAGATGGTATCGTTGTACTCCTTGCCGTCATTCTTAGCGTGGCGCGCCTCCAGCTCGGCAGCGACGAGATCCCAGGCCTCCTTCACCTGAGCTTTAAGGTCTCTGCATTCGGGAATCCAGTTGGTGGCCATGGTCTTGAGAAAACTGGGCCAGAGGCGCAATTTGCGCATGCCCAAGACGCTGTTCTCGCCGTAGTTCACGACGAGGTCGAGCCAACGCTCGTTGCGGCATAAGTTCTCGCCGGCAAAGACGCGAGCTGACATTCTCGAAATGAGGCGGATGATCAGGTCTCTAAGAACAATCTCTTGTGATTCTATCTTCAGTGTCAGCTTTTACTCTACTTTTGATGAAGTCTTTAGATGTTTGCAGCACCTTTTGTGTCACCGAGAAACTCTTGAAGTGTCACTGAGCATTCATCTGACAAAGGCTGGGTGACCTTGGCTACATTTGTGTTCTCTTGTTAGTCACACGTTCCTCAGCAGAGCAGGAAGAGGGCACCAGCAACTGACCTAGAGATTTAGTGACACGCAATTTAACCACATTTTGAAGAGGCTTTGTAGGAATGGCGCCCTCCATGAAAGGTTCGAATCCAGGATACCTCGCCTGGAACAGCTGCACGGGGAATATGGTCAGCAATAAGATACGTAACCTCATCACCACTGACACTGACACAGCCAGAGTCTTGATAATGATAATGAAGAAGGATAAAAATCTTGTAGCTTACTTCGATAATAGGCTCGTCAACGCTAAAGCGAGGATCGTTGCGGATCTCCTCACCGTGCTGCGGCAGAAGCATGATGAATTTGCCCTGGTCCGTCAAGACGCGAAACGGTGTGGCCCCGAATTTTCGTCTGGCCTCTTCGAGAAGTTCCCGCCCAGCTAAGGCAAATGCCATAACAGACTCAGAGGCGGTCAACTGAAACCATCCCTTTGGGTTGATGATGGGCAGTTTCTTGGCGTCGTCGTTGCGCAGTAAGCCATATAGTACAACGACTAAGGCAAGGCCCAATAGAAAATGCGATTGATATTCTCTGAAGCCTTCATATTGGCCGGCTACGCCTTGCGTGCTCGAGGTGGCGTTGTCAAGGAGCGTCATTGCTCAAGTGTGTGACTATGAGAGGGTGAAACTGTTGTTCAGTCGAGTGGTAATTAATGAGATGATGGATATAGACCTGATGCTGGCCTGCTGGAAAAAGAGTTGACATTCACTAGGGAATTGGAAGCGTTTATATGGATTTTGGGTCCGGCAGATGAATCTCATCATGATATGAGTGTCCAAACAGTAAGACAAAGGAAACGATGGGTTTGACTAAATGCTGAACGGACTTTCGGACATGACATGGCTCCGCACTGTAACTGAGATGCAAGTGAGCTGCGATCGATGTTACAGAGCATTTTCCATTGAGGGGCTAAGTGAATACTAGCATAAGTAGCAGGCGTCCGGGGGCCAATCATCTTGCTGGCATTTCACCGCAGTCCATAAATGATACCGTGCAGATCATCGTGAAGCCGGTGGGATACTTCAGGTTTAAGAATTGTCTAAGGCGACGTGGAAGCTCAGAAAGAGTTTGAAGGAACTTCGGGATTTAGGGACTCGCCGCTCCCTGAATACTATTTCGAGTTGTAAGGATTAACGACGGCTAGTTAGTCAAAAGTTCGCATACTTCCAAAGTATATATGTTGTATTGAGGAAATCCCTTTGATGCTCAGCCGTCAGGGGAAGACTCCACATTCCCGAGCTCCTCGAATACATCAACTATTTGCACATGCATCAATCTGCTCATTATACGTCATTGATTCTCTTAACATTGGGACCGGGTATCTTTTCTGTCTCTCTTTTTCTACCAAGCACCAACAATGCCTGCTATGGGAATATCGATACCTGTTGTGTACGAGGCCGTCTCGCTCAACAAGTAGACATACGCGCCGCCCAGCTCCTGAGGCAGTGCTAGACGCGGCATCCCACCGTAATACTTCATCTTGGTGTCCCAGTCAGGGGAAGTCTCAACGTAGTACGTCAACGCAGTCTTGACGAAGCCAGGCGAGATTGAGTTGACCCGGATGCCATGCTCGGCCCACTCCATGGCCAGCGTATGTGTCATGTTGCGGATGGCACCCTTGGTCGCACCGTACGGTGCAGAGGGAGCAGCCTGCAAAGCAAAAAATGATCAGCCAGTCAGTCAGGGAAACCCCCTCATCTTCCATCACCTCAAACATTACACACATGCACGCAAGGACTTACCCGGTTCGGTCTGTACGAAGTCATGCTCGCAGTGAAGACGATGCTCCCCTTGCACCCGAGCTTGATAAACGCCCTCGCGGCGGCCGTCGCACAATTCCAAGACCCGTTGACGTTGAGCTTGAAGAGCCGGTCAAACTGCTCCGGCGTGAAGTCGAGCGCGGGCTGGTGCTTGGTCGCGCCGGCGTTGGCGACCATGCCGTCGAAGCGACCCGTCACGGCCACCACGGCGTCGACGGCCGCCGCGACGCTCCCGTAGTCCGTCACGTCGCAGTGCTGGAACGCGAGCTTGCCGGGGAACCGCTTGAGCAGGGCGGCGAAGTGCTCCCCCGGCTCGGTGATGTCCAGGCTGTACACGCATGCGGCGTCGTTGGCGAGGCAGACTTCTGCGATGCCTAGGCCGATGCCCTGGTTTGCACCCGAAACTTTTCGTGGACGGCGTTAGTAGGTGAACAACCTCCCTGCTTTCTATTGCATGAGGGCACTTACTTGCGATGACTTTGTCCTTGAGAGAGACCTTCCAGTCAGCGCCGGCTGGAGGTAGTGTGCTGAGATAGGCCGGAGCATCGTTTGTGCCGTTGGTGGTGCCGTTGGTGGGGATCGCGGCGGTCCCGTTGCCGTTTTGGTCAGATGAGCCAGTCATTGTGAAGGTGATGATGTGTGTGATGCGCAGAACAGAACGATTGAAGCCGGCTTTGATTCAGATGCAACGACTAACAGAGCTGGTGAATTGACTTTTAGATGGTATAGTAAGCTGGGAGATACAGAAACCTTTCCTTGCCTTAAGTAAATAGAGGAGCGGGCGAGGAGAACGTTGATGAACGCAAGACTCGCCGGCGCCGTGGGGTTCGTCAGAGATCGAACACCACGAGGCTCCCGACACGCGGTCCGGTACGGATGCAGCTTCCGGATCGGCTGCAGACGGGTCATCGCGTGGTAACTCCGGACCGTGTTTGTCACTCACAGCCGCATGTTCCTCAACTTCTTACACATACGATAAAGACACCACGAGCCGGTGTTCGCATTGCATGTTGCAAGCCACTCCCGGGAAGCCGCTTGCCTCGAGACGCGGTCCTCCTAAGAACTGGGCTAGTTTCGATTATTCCCAGCCCCATTCTTTTTTATTGTCCCCGAGTCGCGGCAGCACGCCGTCCATCTGACTTGCGCTAGTTTGCTAGTTGATTGCTCTTCCGGGGTCTCCCTCCCCCAGACCCCGCAAAATTCGGAAGATTCGTCTGAGGGCCCCCGGTTCCCCAGATTGGGGGAGAAAACATGCCAAATGACTTAGTTCAGATGATCTACGAATCCTCGTTGGTCGTACGACCACCCTACGAAACCAGGCTGCCTCTAGGCAAGTTGCGTGTAAGCTGGCAAGGGCGGCACGCCGCGCTCAAGACCGAGGCAGGTTTTCCATCAAAGCTGACAAGTATTACTCGGACGCTATCGGTAACAAGTCTCGTTTTGATCATTCTCTTGTCTCGGCCGAAGCAAATATACGAGAATTAGGGAGACAGTTGTGAAATACATAAGACGCTTTTCCTTGCCAGTTGCTCTCGGTTGGCTTTCGGTTGGCAACTCCGGGCATCTGTTTGGAACTCTGCTTCTATACTTCTTTTATCCAAAAATTCTCTTGAAGATTTCAAGAGTACCAAAGGGGTCTTATTACCAAATTCTGAGTCAGCTCACAGAACGTTGTCGACAATGGAGAAGAACGAGACTGCAAGCAACGAGCATGAACATGCTCTCTCCAAGGGCGAGGAGCTGGTGGGCGTAGACGGCTATGTCGCCGACAGCGATGAAGAGAAGAAATTGGTCCGCAAGATAGACCTCTACTTGCTTCCTCTAATCTTCGTCATGGTTCGTAACATGACCAGACTAACTCTCTCGAAAACACGCTTCTAACATTGACGACTTGCAGTATCTCCTATCTTACATGGACAGAACAAAGTACGCTCTCACCAAAACACAACCTCGAACCCCATCAACTGACAATATCCGCAGCATCGGCAACGCCAAAATCGCCGGCATGGACCGCGACCTCGACCTCGACTCCTCCCGCTACTCAATCGCCCTCGTCGTCTTCTTCGTAGGCTACGTCCTCTTCGAAGTCCCCTCCAACATGGTCCTAACCCGCACACGCCCCTCCCTCTACCTCCCCGGCATCATGTGCCTCTGGGGCTCCGTCACCATCGGCATGGCCTTCACCCCCACCTACAAAGCCCTAATCGGCTTCCGCGTCGTCATGGGCGTCCTCGAATCCGGCTTCGCTCCGGGCGTTTTGTTATTGCTCTCGTCGTGGTACAAGAAGGAGGAGCAGAGCAAGAGGTTCGCCGTCTACATCTCGGCCGCCATCTTGTCGGGCGCCTTTGGCGGGTTGTTGGCGGGTTCCATCACGAGCGGGCTGGACGGGGCGCACGGGATCGCCGGGTGGCGGTGGTTGTTTGTCGTTGAAGGGGCGGCGACGGTGGGCGCTGCGTTGGTTGCGTTTTTTGCGCTGCCTGATTTCCCGGCGAATACTTCGTTGAAGAAGTTTAGTGAAAAGGAGAGGGAGCTGGCGATTCGGAGGCTCCAGAGTGCGGCGGAACATCTTAGGACGGAAGAGGGGCCTCGCCTGGGACATTGGGCTGCCTTTAAGCTCAGCATGATGAGCTGGAGGACTTGGCTCTTTGTCGTTGGCTACATGGTGAGTTTGTTTTGCAGACCAAATAACCCCTTTTTCCACGATCAAAGCTAACATCTTCCCTTCCACCACAGGCCATCGTCGGCTCCTCAACACTCTCCTACTTCTACCCGACCCTCGTCTCAGGCCTCGGCTACAAATCCACAGCCGCCCAATACATGACCATCCCCATCTTCGGCATCGCCTTCGTCTCCACCGCCGTGACGGGCTACTTCGCCGACCGCCACTCGCGCTTCCGCGGCCTCATCCTCGGCGCCTGGATGACCGTCGCCATGCTCTGCGCCGTCGTCACCTGCGTCGTCTACGACTTCAAGGCGCGCTACGCGCTGCTCGTCGTCATGGCCTCCGGGCTCTGGGCCTCCAACGGACTCGCGCTGTCGTACGCCTCGGTGAGCTTCGGGTCCATGCCCAACGAGACGAGGGCGATTTCGCTGGCGTTTGTGAACGCCATGGGCAACCTGGCGCAGATTTACGGGGCGTACCTGTTCCCTTCCAAGGATGCGCCTAAATATCTGATGGGATTTGGGGTAATTAGCGGGTTGTGTTTTACGGGTGTGGTGTCGTATGTTGCGCTTCACGTCTTTTTAAGGAGAGAGATGAGGTCGGCATGATTGCTCTTGCGTGGACTGAGTCGCAATGTAATAGGATTAATCAAAACATGTCTATTAAGATTGCACTTTCCGTAGAACTCAGACGCTTGGTTTAAACTTTGACGTTACACAAAAGCAGCTGAAAGTGCCTTTTTTATGCGGAATTACGCCACACTGAGACATCAGACAACATAGCTGACCTATAGGGTGCAAGGTCATCTTCGTTCTCTACCTAGCATGAAAACTCAGAGACAGATGCGTGTCTTACTGTCACAAGCACTACTAAGAAAGACAGGTCCGTGTCTAGACTCCATGGCGTCAAACTCTTCATCTCCATAGTCGTTGTAGTAGATCAGCCGCATCCGGATCCATTGTCTACTCCACACGAACTTTTTTTCACTGTATGAAAACATAAGTATCCCTTTCTTTGTACTTATTCATTACGCTTACAATGTTTCATTCTACGTCTCCCAAAGTATATTCCGTAATGAACACAAGGCAGAGAGAGCGGAAGAATCCATGCGACTGATTTATGATTTACTTCGGCGCCCCGCCACAACAGTGCTAGATCGCGACACGGCGATGACTTCCGGCGGTTGCACGTGGTGGACTTAGTACGGGCCCGGATATCCTCGTCGGGTTCCTCGGGCGCGACATCTGCGTTGTCCGGCGGCATCCGCCAAGACCGTTGGCAATCAGACCAAGTAGTAAGCAGGCTGCGGGAAATTCAAGCTTTGGTTTGGGATTGCGAACGGTTTCCTGCCTCATGATCTCCTTCTTTCTTCGTTATTCACGAATTACAGCAACGACAAGATGTACGCCAAGCAAACACTCGTTGAATGGATAGGCGTCCCCAGGAACATGATGGTCGGGCCGAGCAGAAGCTATTTGGGTCATTGCTATCTGTTACACATCAGATAATTACCCAGCGGCAAGACACCTTGTCACATCCTTGGCTACTAAAAAGCCTCCTTGGAAGTGTAACCCAAATACGGAGGAGCACACGCTCTTTTCACTTGAATCGGCTTTGTTGCCGTAATGCTGAAAGGAATACGGATGAAAACCACAATTTCTAATCTGTGGCTCTACGATACAAGGTTGATGATACACACCTGATAAGCCATGGTACCTATGGAAACCCACAAACTTTTAAAGCCAACACAACTTGAATCCCCAGGGAATCTTACTTGGTATTTGCCAGCTCCTGTAGCGCGAGCTTCAAGTTCAATATGTTTTGAGTGAGAACCTCGCGTCTATCCCGCGTCGCTGCGTTCTCTCCGGCAATCATCTTGAGCTGCGTGTCGTCCAGGCTCATGACCAGGTCAGGTGTGAAAATCTTGAGAGGGCTGGTCTTGGAATCGAGCAAGGAGTGAAATATGACCTGCTGCAGCACAACATCAACGAATCGCCTCCGAGCGACCATGTAGTAGCTACGGAGGGCGTCGTGGATATCCTCTCTGACCTGCTCAGCGTTGGAACGATCGGTTGTAAGCTTGGAGAGCATTGACTTTGGCACCCACCAGCCTGCAGCTCCGGAAGACCCGTCTTCTTGCTGAGACGCAAAATCGAAGGGGCTTCCGTTGTTGTTGTTCGCCCCCAGCGTGTTTTCCCCGGAAGCAGGACTTGCGTTCGTGCTCGGGTTGCGTGCAGTAGCGCCATCGACGTTACGGGCGCTCTCCGGGCCAATGGCCTTGTTGATCGCTTGCTGAAGTCTGGTGGCCTGTGAAACTTGAAGATTGCTGTCAAAGTAGTGGTTCATGGTGTAGGGCTGTCCACTAAGCTCGACTTCAAGGAGGAACTGAGCATGATCCAAAGCTCGCTGGTAAGCTGCACGGAGCTTCGGCAACAGAAGATGGTCATGCAACATCTCAAAAGTGTTGCTGTCGCCTTCACATTTGCGTTGCAGTGTTATGCGAATGAACTTGTGAATGACCACGATAACCTGACTAACATGCTTCAAAACCAGGGGCGCCCACCTCTGGGTCTGCTCCTTGAAGGTCTGTGCTAGCAATGAGCCTGGAAACTAGACTTTTGTTAATGCTGAGCATGATATGTTGTCAGAATGGTACTCACCGAGCCAATCTCGGCAGTGCGAGATCGATGAAAGAGAAATTCAATACGGCCCAAAAGTAAGCCTTCTACTGGCTTGGGGCATTTGAAATCCATATGCTTCAGGATATCGCCGAGACAACGAGTCGACTGCTCGTCCATAGGCACTTTGAATCCAGGAACAGGACCGACCTCCTCCTAGCTTTGGCCGTCAAACTCATGTGTATGGCCATACGATGTGAGGACCTTATTGAATGCCTCATTCAGATTGACGACGCATGTGATGAGTCGAAAGTGTACGTCGTATTGGAACATGCCCATTCCGCTGTAATTTCCGTCCCGAGCTCGAATACAAACCTCTTGGAAACCTGATGCAATATTGGCAAGGTATCGTCGCTGAGCATCTGCTCGAGATCGTAAAGGACCTAGGCGACTGAGCAAAGTCTCAGTGTTATTGAGTCTACGATGTATATTGGCCTCGATGTTCTTATGATCCTTCTTGAAAAGGTCGCCAAGCAAGTCTCGCAAACGGATACCGAGGCCGCTAACACCAACCCGAAATGTCGATTTGATCCTGCTCCACGGACGAGCAGAAAAGAACTCCTTCTCCGATGAGTTTCGATCTGTCTTCGTTGAGGCTCCTTCGTCGTCACTCTGATTCTTCACCACACAGTATCCGAGGCGGAGGGGATGGCGTTTGCCCTCAATAAGTTCGCATACGATTTGCTGAGTGACGCGCTCGGTGGCAAGGTCGGGCTTGGTGAGAACACCTATAGTTCGAAGCCCCTCTGGGTCGACTTCTTTGGCAAGAGTGAGAGCCTCCTGGGTTGATGCGTCGACATTGCAAGGGATGACTGCCAGAATGATGGTACGCTGATCTTTGATGTATCTGTTGACTATGTTTCTGACGATAGCAATGTCATTGTTGGTGGTCAGGCCCTTTGTAGGCGTGCGGAAAATACCCGGGACATCAATGATGGTCAAGTGATATTGCTGGTGTTCCAAGGTCAGCAAGTTTCATGAATCGACAACGTCAGACTTGAACGTACGTCCGGGCTGTTGATCTCAATCTTGAGAATGTCTTCAGCAAAGATCGGTAGCTTTGAAGCATCCCCATCGTTGATACCGCGAAGTTCCATGGCTTCGTTCGCCTGAGGGAGGTCGTACTTATCAGCATCAAGACGGTGGCCTCCCAATGCGGGCTTTACTTACCTTCATAAAGGCATCCGCCAACGCCAGGTCGTTCTTCTTGACAGAGAATCCAAACTTCTTCAGTCGCTCCATTCGATCCTCGGTGGAATCCTGGCTCGGAATAATAGAGATCTGGACGCTCTCGTAGGCATCGCGGCGACAAGTAATATGGGTCGCGTAACGGGTGCAGAGCTCAGGACCGCGGGGGAAGGCCAAACCCGTCATACACTCGAGAACAGAACTCTTACCCGAAGACGGGTCACCTACCACGACAACTTGCGGTAGTGGAATAAGGTCGGCGACGCCGAGATTGCAGAGTCTGTCAATGGTTCGCATGCAGGCATCGTCGCGGAGCCACACACGGGCAGGGTTGCCGTCGTTGTGGTTGCCTGCCATGTTGATTCTCCCTCCGTGAATTGTCTACGATATCAAGGACCTCGAGTAGTGGAGAATTAAGGTGATGGAATAGTAGACAAAAACATGAGGATACGAAGAATAAACTCGAGACAATGTTGGATAGTTGGCGGAGGAAGACGGATAATGTTGTCGTGTTCGATAGAGGCAAGCTGCGTCTTCGAGGTTTGTGAAGTGGCAGAAGAGGACAAGATCGAGGTAGGCAAGCACCTGCTGCTCAAAAGGAGGGAGGTGCATAGAGGCGTGCCGTCCAGTCCGCTTCGATAGTAATTTGGGAACGAAGCGAGGTTTCTCTAGGGTCACGAAGAGATGATCCTTCCCGTCGTGCCCCTGTTGCCGGCAAAAAGTGAGAAGGTCGAACATAGAGAGGCCAAGAAGACGCGTCTCTTCTAGGGTAGGTACCGCCTACTCGCTTGTTTGGTGTATTCCAAAGCTCAGGAGCAGGCAACGATTCTCTGTGCCTGCCTTTCAAAGATAAGGCAAAGATAAAACAGCCTTTGTCTCTTGAATCCCGATCAAGAAACTGGCTCACAGTAGGGAAGTTAGCGAATTTGACTGGCACTGAAGATGATTGACCATGCCACAGCTTCGCATCTATCGTCATCGCCAAATGGTCGATTCAAAGTTCTTACCTCTGCAACTTATGCAACACCAAAAGACCTTGCGGCACGACTGACAAGTGGGTTGTCGATATAAAATGACATTGCTGATGCTGATCTACTCAAGCCCTGATTGCTCGTTGGCATCGCTACTGAATATGCTACACAATAAAACATAGAAATGAGAAGACACGTTGTGTCGTGCCGTAACCTGACTCGCTGCACTTTTCCGCCTCCCGTTCCTAGGGTATTTCCTCAACCGGATGTTGGCTTCTTCTTGTCCATGACGCCCTTCAACACCTTAAGCTTCTCTTCCGTCACCTTGATTGCCTCTTCAATCTCACGTTCGTCCATACGATCCTCTCTGACCCTCTCCTCCACAGTATTTGGTTCCATTGCTCGCTTCCGAATGGGCAAGCTGCCTTCGTGCAAGCGCTCCAACCCAACTCTTTCCTCCAGCCACTCCCAAAGTTCACTCTCTTCGCGCCTCCACATCTCGTCGTACGCCGCAAGACGATCCGGATAACCATACATGCGCATGCCTTCAGACGCTTGTCTGCCAGGCAGGCCAAAGCCAAACCACGTAGCAACGAGAAGGCCAACTAGGAGGCCATACATCATGTTGCCCGTGAGTAGTGGTTTGGCAATGTCGAGAATTGGCTCGAGAATGCCGCGGACAGGCTCCAATGGGCCCCAATTCGTCTTGGGAACATGTCTTGGACGAACCTGCTCGTCCTCGGCGTCTGTTGTTGAGCCGGCCGCCTTGCTCTTCTTGCTCTTCTTCTTGCCCTTGGGGCCTGAGCCCGCTCCCGCACCGCCAGCGCGGGCTTTAGTAGACACAGCTGATTTCAGACTAGCAAAGAGGTCTTTGCAGTACTGGGTCTGGCCATCATTGGCTCCCTTTTCGATAGGACCTTCATCATGTTAGCTCATGCCATTGACGTAGGGAAAAGCTTCAACTTACCCTTCAACCAACTCTTGCCCGTCCACTCAATAGTGCAGTTAGATTGCACTCTGGTAGAGTTGTTGTCGGCCCACGTCAAACAGTACTTTGTCTTGACGCTGAAAATGTTGCCGTTCGGTACATCTGGGGTTTGTGTGGTGACGCTAAAGTTGATGGCTTTCTCAAAATCAAGATGATCCAAGGTCTCCGTTACAAGACATTTTGTCTGCTTCGGACCGATGGCACCATTGAGAGGCTTAATGTAAGTGAAATACCGAGACTTATTGTCGAGAGTCAGCCCCTTCTTGTCCTCCATGGTCAACTCTGTACACTTGGCCTCAACAGTGAGCCATTTTGTCATCCAGGTGACCGAGGCTGGACCGAAGAGCAAGTTATACACCTTGCCCAAGGGCGCAGGAATGACATCGTCGCCGACAACCCTGTCGTAATGCGTGTCAGAGTCTCCGCAATCGGTTGGCGCATGAGTGGCCGGACCAGGGAAGTCATTGCCGCCTGGAGCAGCACCGACAGCCTCCTTGACGACATCGGCGACAGCGCCATTACCACCTGCACCAGATACCTTGCGAGAGACGGTCTTTCCACCTTCGGGTTCAGCGTTGACTTCTGACAGTTGCGTGACATCTTGCAAGTCCTCTGCGTCGTCATCTTCGTCGTAAACGTCGTCGTCATCGCCAGAATCACTCTCTTCATCGGTGCCGGACAAACTACCATCATCAACATCTGCTACCACTGCACTATTCGCGTCAACCTTTTCTGTCTTGTCACCACCAGTACCCTCGAGCTGGACTCCGTTTAGCGAGCTTTGCAGGGTCGGGTGACCAAGTTTCCAAATATTGACAATTAGGTCGTAAGTCGAGTCTCGACTGGTGAAACTGGCAAAAATATGCTTGGCATGTAGGGTCGTGATCATGAGTCCGTTCTTGAAAACCAGGGCCGTGCTGCGCTTCTCAACGCTTACTATTTCGTCAAAGCTCATGACAAGCGTGGTCGACCAGCCGAGGATATTGCTGCTAAAGCACAAGTGGCCTTCGGATACGTACAGGCGGCCGTGCGCCAGGATCTCGCGCTGCAACGCACAGCTGTAGTCTTCGATGAGGTAATCGTCGTCGGGCACGCTCTTGAAAAATCCATGGAAATCTCGATTGCGCTTCTTGCTCGCAACCGCGAATCCCGTAAGTTTCGGTACGCTCGCGTTGGCTTGAGGGTGAGCAAGAGACGCGTTAGCCGCAGCAATGGCAGCGCCAATAGTAGTAGCCGTACCTCCCGACACAGCTGAGCTTCCTCGCTTGCGATGGCGTCCAATGGCGCTTCGAATACTTCCACTTCGTTGGACTCCTGAAATCTTGTCTTCGTGTATGCTGCCTTGCGGAGGGGTTCGGTCCCCGGCACTTCCTGGATCGTATAGTGATTGGGGTCTCGCCGCGTTTCGGCCGTCGTCTACTCCGAGGTCGCGCGTGGCAGCGGCATAGGCAGCGTCTGTCGGGGCTGACTCGCTTCTAGCTCGTGCGTCCGATTCGGGGAATTTTGCTGTAATGGGCGTTCCTGCATTGCTGGCTGTGTCCGTTATACCTAATTGACTGAGGCTGAGCTCGCCCGACCCAATGGTCTTGACTGCTGGCTCTTTCTCCATGGTCGAGCCTGTTGCGGATGGAGGTGGCGGCTCGACCTCGGGCTGCTCGTCGATCTTGATATCGGGGGGTTTAGCTACGTTCTTGTTCTTGGGAGGGGTCGGTCCTATGCCGGTATTCTGAATGGTACTTGTGAGCGAGGTCGCGGCGTTTTGCGCAGCCGAAAAGACGGATGAAAAGAAGCCGCTTCCGCCGGATGGAGTTCCTGGGTTGCTTGCGGTCCCGTTCTCGGGGGTGGGCGTCAAAGGCGCGAGGGTTATGTTGGACAGTTTGCTAGGCCCTATACTTCCAGATCCTGATCTACCCCTGCGGTGAGCAAGCATAGTACCCGTGGCAGAACCACCATTCGTGTTGCCTGAGGCAGTGACAGAAACTTCGGGAGCGGGCTGCGGAGCTGGGGCCGGCGGAGGAGATTGAGCGTAGGGTGCGTTGTGGTCGGTCGGTGTCGGAGGGGTGTTGACGATGACGGGCGTCTTGTCGGCGTTGGGCGGGGTTTGGGGTACGAAGGAGGTGTCGATTCGAGATGTGTTTGTGGAGGCCCTGGAGCGACGTCGCTCAGGTGAATGCGTTGTTGATTGTTTTACGCGAGATGCATCTGCGTCGCTCGTCGCATTCGGTTGTGGCGGGGTCGGATTGTCTAGAAACGGCTTTGTGGTTGTGGTGAGGTCAGAGGTGGAAGCAGTGGCTCTGCCTCGGTCTCTTGTTCTCCGCGTGTCTCGGTCGTGGTCGGGGGTTTCGTCACCGCCCAGGGACCGGTCGGGGCTTGTGGCGGCACTGGTAGTCTTTTTTGACTTTGTAAAAACACCTTTGAGACGGCCAACGGGGGATGGCGATCTCGTGGTGTTTTTCTTTGGTGGCACAAGACTTGTGAAACTGCGTTTGGAGCGCAAAGAAGAATCTGTCGACGACTCGACGGATTGCGTCCGCTTGGCAGAGGAGAGAGTGGATCGCGCCGAGGCGATCTGGGAGAGTTGGTCGTCCAGTATCTGTGGTTGGGGTTCAGGCAAATGAGTTGCCTGAACGATAGGGGAAGAAGTAGTCAAGTAACCTATTTGCGAAGGATGTGTCGATATGGCACTTGGTCGAGAGTGCTGAGAAAGAGATCTAATGAGAGGGGGCGGAAATCGTCGTGGTTAGATAGTTGGTATTGTATGGATGGTTACATGGAGAGACGAAACAGTAGGAGGTGGTCGGGGGAGACATGGACGACCCTGACCCCGTTTGTTCGCACTCGCTTGAAATGGAACATTCGTCAGGGACACGAGTTAAATGTGCTGAAGGGACCCCCAGGCAGCTGTCATACGGCGATTGCCGCAGAGAGTGGATGAGGGGGAGCTGAGACCCATGGGACACGGAGCACAGAGAGAGGAGAGGAGAGGAGAGCGCATCAGCCCCCCCTCCTCTCCGAGTCTGCTAGTCTCCCAGTCCCAGAACCCCCCGGACCAGTGAGAACTGTCAGACCAAGGATGGCCAGAGCAGCCTACTACGGACGCTAAGCCCGCTGTCCTTTCTCTGTCTCTCCACTTGATATGCACAAAAGAGAGACGGCGCCGTTGCGGGTTGTGCCAGCAGACTGGGGCCGAGTTGCGTAGCACCCGCAGTAATAGCAGCTAGGTACTATTCGTAGCTCGCCTCGTCATTCGATGGAGACGCCAGTGACGACTTTGAACGATGGGGGGAATGCGCCACGCGAAAAGACGTGGCCTTGTGAGGTGGTGGTGAAGAGCACGGAACAAGTGCGCTCGGATGCATACATATGTAAGGTGGTGGGAAGATTTGAAGGATGAGGAT